AAGTCATAGTATGGTGAGGCATAAAAAGTAAAAAAAAACCACATAGTGTAGTAAGGCATAAAAATCATAGTATAGTAAGGCATAAACAGTCATAAAAATGTCATAGTATAGTAAAGCATAAAAAGGCATAAAAAGTCATAGTATAGTAAGTCATAAAAAGTCATAAAAATGTCATAGTATAGTAAGGCATAAAAAGTCATAAAAATGTCATAGTATAGTAAGGCATAAAAAGTCATAAAAACGTCATAGTATAGTATGGCATAAAAAGTCATAGTATGCTGAGGCATAAAAAGTCATAAAAATGTCATAGTATAGTAAGGCATAAAAAGTCATAAAAACGTCATAGTATAGTATGGCATAAAAAGTCATAGTATGCTGAGGCATAAAAAGTCATAAAGTCATAAAAATGTCATAGTATAGTAAGGCATAAAAATGTCATAAAAACGTCATAGTATAGTATGGCACAAAAAGTCATAGTATAGTAAGGCATAAAAAGTAATAAAAATGTCATAGTATAGTACGGCATAAAAATGTCATCAAAACCTCATAGTATAGTTTTGCATAAAAAGTCATAGTATAGTAGGGCATAAAAAGTCATAAAAATGTTATAGTAATGTATGGCATAAAAAGTCATAGTACAGTAAGGCATAAAAAGTCACAAAAATGTCATAGTATTATAAAGCATAAAAATGTCATAAAAACGTCATAGTATAGTATGGCATAAAAATTCATAGTATAGTAAGGCATAAAAAGTCATAGCATAGTAAGGTATAAAAAGTCATAAAAATATCATTGTATTGTATGGCATAAAAAGTCATAAAAACTTCATAGTATTGTATGGCATAAAAAGTCATAAAAATGTCATAGTATAGTAAGGCATAAAAAGTTAAAAAAATGTCATAGTATAATAACGCATAAAAAGTCATAAAAATGTCAAGTTATTGTAATAGTATAATAAGGCATAAAAAGTCATAAAAAGTCATAGTATATTAAGGCATAAAAAGTCATAAAAACGTCATAGTATAATAACGCATAAAAAGTCATAAAAATGTCAAGTTATTGTATGGCACAAAAAGTTATAGTATAGTAAGGCATAAAAAGTCAATCAAAATGTCATTATATAGTAAGCCATAAAACGTCATAAAATGTCATTATATAGTAAGCCATAAAATGTCATAAAACGTCATAGTATAGTATGGCATACAAACGTCATAGTATAGTAAGGAATAAAAAGTCATAAAAACGTCATAGTATAGTAAGGAATAAAATGTCATAAAAATGTCATAGTATACTAAGGCACAAAAAGCCATAAAAATGTCATCGTATGACATAAAAAGTCATAAAAAAGTCATAGTATAGTATTGCATAAAAAGTCATAGTAAAGTAAAGCATAAAATGGCATTAAAACGTCATAGTATACAAAGGCACAACAAGTCATAAAAATGTCATAGTATAGTAAGGCATAAAGAGTCATAAAAACGTCATAGTATAGTAAGGCATAAATAGTCATAAAACCGTCATAGTATAGTAAGGCATAAATAGTCATAAAACCGTCATAGTATAATAAGGCATAAAAACATAATAGTATAGTATGGCTTACAACGTGATAAAATCAATAAAGTATAATAAGTCATAAAAAGTCATTAAATGACAAGGCATAGCAGGCAAGTACAGGTTTACAAACGTCATAGTATAGTAAGTCATAAACAGTCATACAAACGTCATAGTATAACATGGCATAAAAATGTAATAGTATAGTATGGTATACAATGTGATAAAATCAACATTGTATAAGGCATAAAAAGCGACAAAATTACATATGATAAGGCATAAGAACGCCATCAATCAAATGCTGGCATGCTTAAATCGTTTATCTTGGAGACATAGCCTCTTGGAGGGCACACTGGAATGATCTAATGTGACTTTACTCCAACCATAGTGTGAATAAATTCACTGAAATATTGGTAGGAAAAATTCTGGCCTCCCAAAATATTGGTAGGGGTATGTCCCCACCGTCCATATGTAAAGCTATGCCCTTGCTATATATACCGTATATATAAGATTCTTTTGGCTTTGAACATACTAACATAAGTAATGTGATTTACTAGAAAGAGAAACCAACGCTTTCAAAGTTATTAATGTTGTGAAAGGTTTGTACTATTTCTAAACATATAAATTTTGATTCTTTGAGAAATATTTTCGGTCTGGAACTTAAACTCATCAGTTCTGCTGTATTATGTTAATACACTTCACACGGTTGATACGAACTACTATCACACCATGTATAAATTACTCATAGTGAGGGTTATTGTGCTAGTGTCTGTCCTTACCTTATATTCAGTACAAGGTAACAGTTTGATGGTTTAGTCACGGGCTTCTGAGGCACTGACTCACAGCGAATCTTACTGCTGGGTGACTTTTTGTAGCAGTACAGGCTGGGATTCTCAGGAGGATCTAACAGATAAAGACAACATGCAAACTTACTGTGCGTTAATTCAGTCAATCAGCCATTTGTAGTCTTTCCTAAACATACCTACGTCAGCCACAGACCACTGTTAATGATGTCTCATTCACAGTCATCACTTATCAAAAACATTGTTGAGTATTTTTCTGTCACCAGGCCTTTTTCATTGCAGACATTTTGACATGTTGATGATGATGATGATGATGATGAATTTATTCATTTCGAACATGAAACATAAAACATAAAAAAAGAATAATAATGTTTGAAAAGGAGTAGGAAGAAGTAGCCAATACACTTATATTCCTACCGCTTTCTCACTACTCCTCCATTAGCTCATATGTAGAATTTCCAAAACTATCCCAATCTTATGTGCAACCCAAATATACACCCGGTGTCAAAAAAGTAATTAAAACGTAAACCATTAAGACAATCGTTCCTCATCCATATACCTCTTTTTGTGTATCTTTTTCACATCAAGGCCATTCCACAAATTCACACAACAGATTGAAATACACAAACACAATGTTTTTTTTAAATTAATCTCTCCTCTTAAGTTATAACCCCCCTCTCTATTGCACAACTTTTTTAGTATTTTGCCCAGAGGTGAATTATTTCTTACTTTAAACTTGTGCAGTCTTAAATTCTACCAGATCTGCTTTCAGAAAATGTAATTCTGTAAGTAATAATATTAGTCAGGGCTGCACTCTATGCAGCTACAAAGAGCAGGATGAACATGTCAGCATCCCATTGTGACAGCATATACGTATATATATATATATATATATATATATGTGTGTGTGTTAGTGTGTATATACAGTATATTTATGTATACATCAGTTAAAAAACATTGTAATGAAAGAACAGAGATAAATACTTTGGTTCAAATCAAATTGAATCATCACTTCTAACTTTACTCCTCCATTATGACTTCATTGCTGTGACTCACCTGCAACAGTTACTTTTAAGGAGAACCTCTCTCTGCCTCTGTGATGACACGTGTACTTCCCAGAGTCTGTCACTCTTACTGAGGACAAAGACAGGGAAGCCCCTCTCTTCTCAAATGTGATTTCTCCCCAATCTCTCTTCCCACTCCCTATTGTCCTCTCGTTCCACTTCCACTGAGGCATTGATTTTATGCCTCTTGTTACCCTGCTCCCCCTCCCCCCTTCCTCCTCCTCATCTTCCTCATAATCACCCTCACCGTCCACCTCTTCGGCCTCCCAGCTGGATTCACCCTTCAGCAGTCTGCCACCGCTGGTTGGTTGGACCATGTGAGTGGTGGGAGAGGCTGTGTATACTGTGCCCGTATATCTTGGGCTTCGGTTTCCTCCTGTCACAGCACTGACTTCTGCCTCAGGGTTAAAGTGGTATCCCACATTTACAGTACTGTCCACAGTATGTTTGTTATTTATGATGTTTCCAGTGGTTGTGGGTGCAGCTGAAGAACTCTCTCTACTGTTGGTGTTTGAGCTGTCTGTGGCAATGTTGACCTTTATTCCGTTCACCATTACATGACCTCTGCACGTCAGAACCAACTTACTGCCTGTGGATACAACCAACACACCAGGGGGAGGGTCTGCACAGAAATACAAACATCAAACAATGGTTTATAGAATAAAAAAAAACTGTGTGTGTGTGTGTGTGTGTGTGTGAATTCACTTTCATACATGACATTCATACAGTATTTTGTAAAAAAGTGGCATGATCTTTTGCCTTGAGTATTGGCTACAGTCAGAAAAGATGCAACGTTGCATAACCAAAATTACCATCTCCTTGAGAACTTCCTCTTTTAATGTCTGTCCTCTTCACTGTTTCTTTTTCTGTGCTACATCATGTCCTCTTTGTGTCAGCTCTTTTCCCTAATTATTTAGATGTTCAGACTGCACTCAGGACATACACAGCGCATTATAACTTTATATTTGTATTTATAGCCTCTTGTTTTGATTTGATTGTTTTGATGAGAAGTCCATTGCCCTTGTGGGTCTTTCCCAGTTCCATGTCTATCCCTCTAGGAATCTATGGAAAATTAAGAGGCAGCAGGCTAAGCGGCCCAGCAGCACAACTACTATAATCAATACTTTTAAGCTTCATACATGTCATTTTTTAAATTGAATTTACCTGACTTACCTCATAAATGATATGAATAATTTCAGCGCGGTATTTTTAACATCAGAGTAGAAGGAGTTACCTCAAAGCTCCATAACCCACTCCAGTTTTAGTCCAGTACAGCAAACATGACCAAGGTTAAAAACACATTTACAATAGATGCTGACTGGCAAGAAGAAAGCTGGCAGTGGGCCTATATACAAATAGAGCAGCTTTTTATCCAGTTTAGAAAAAGTGTGGCATGGTCCAGCTGAATTTAATTTGAAAGGCGGATTAAAACTGTAAATACAGGTTATAATTGTTTTTGAGAGTTAGTATGAAAAATATGTTTCCTGAAATTTTTACAAAACAAAAGTTTTACAAAACAGCAATTAATGTGAAACTACACACAAAATGACAATACAGATCACGTGAAATATAATCTGAGGTGCCCAGACCAACTGAGTTGCATACAATACGTGTTTGCTGTGATTTATCTTATTTCAAGTCAAAAATTTGACCTCATATTGACAATAACATGGCAGAACAAATTCCATCTGGGAGCTTACCTTTTCTGGGACAGGCTCCTTCGAAAACGCTGTGGACCTGTGCGGCGCACAGAACAGACAGCAAAGGTTGAAAAATCCGCATTTTTGCGCATGAATCCCCCTTTAACGAGTAGTCACACCATCACCTACACGCGAACAGCATTGGTTGGAGATCGTTGTGACTCCCATCAAACTTTTCCCACCGTCAAAGTTTGTCTGTCAACTGTCAGTCCCCCACTATAGACAGGAGTCACAGCTCTGGTTGCAGCAGTATGCTGTCAGTAAGACCCGTTATTGTGAAATCCCAGCTCTCTTCCCCTTGTTCAGCACCGTTACACAGAGGAAATCCTCCTCAGCGTCAAAATAAAACCCCAAAGCTGAATATAGGCCTGCAATTATAATATTACTTTAAAAAAAACAAAAAAAAATGCCATACCCCATAAGTATAGGCTATATATATATACATATATATATATATATATATATATATTTTATACTCTGTACTGGTATCCTGATTTTTATCACTTGACAGGCTACTAATATCCATATAGAATATAAATGTTGTATTTTTATTTTTATTTTATTACAAAGTAAGAAACAACCTTACTGCCCTTTAATTTCACACATCTCAAAATATCTCTTTCTATTCTCTGTTCATATTTTCACCTCGGCCTATAGAAAGTGATGGGACACCAAGATATGGTAGAGGACTAGAGGGTGCTTTTGCCATAAAATGTTTCTGTGGTTTAACTTAAAAAAATCTCATGCTGTCAGTGCTTTTTCACTTGAGATAATTTCACGCTCCACCACTTCTCAGCAGTACAGTCATTTCTACCTCAAACTTTGGTTTCTATGTGAAATGACATCGGCATGGACACAGTATGTTTCTCTCATGTGAAAGAGAGATGACAAGTTTATTGACCACCATTCAACAGCTCCACATTTCACCTAAGTAATGACCCGTGCTTGGAACAATTCTTGGGGCCAAATACAGTACAGTACATTCATTTCCATAAGTTTTTACCTTATTGTTTCAGAGCATGTCAACATTCTGGTGTGTCAGCTGCTTTGTTGATGATGGTAGTACAGGGAGAGATCTGACAGCAGATTTATATGATTCCTCTGGTGACCCTACTTACTGATTATCTCACACCAGTCTGGGTCAGATGGGATGTTATGCTTGACTTATGGATGACGAATCAGAAAAGAGAGGTTAGAGGACCAAAAGTTTGGCATTGTTAAGGCATGATTATCCCCAAACACCTTCCCTTCATCCAAATAAAAATAAAGAGGAAAATTAATAAATGAAAGCACTTTACTGAAGTGTATACAGTATGAATCCACACAACTGTTCACACAAAACTTGACAACATGTATGATTGAGACTTTGACAAACCACTTTTAAATAGCTTAAATATCTTTTTGATTTTCACAAAGTTTCTTTATTTCTTTGCACTGTGCCCAGGTCCAACCTAAAGTAAATCGGTGGCACTTTGTCTTTTCATTCTGTTTTTCAGAGTGTGATGTATGAGACATTAAATTAGACATACATTCACATGATCTGGGCCTTTGTCAGACCAAAAAAAGGCCTAACGTGCAAATAGGAGAAAAAAGCACTGAGAGCTTGCTTTAAGGTGCAACTCAACTAGGCCAGTATAAAACACATCAATATGATGCAAAAAAAGAAAAGAAAACATGTGGAGTAGAGGTAAAATAAGTAGGAAAACATATCAATGAGAGAAAAGGGATACCAATCTTGCAAGAGTCTTGCAATGTTCTGTAACATAAGGGACCGTTCTCACTGAGAACTATAGTGAACACTGAGACAAAAAACACTTTTACAGATAATGTCTGCACCTCACTAGTTGAAAATTATACTGCTCATTCATTCAACTTGCTGTTGAGTTTCATAAATACTGTGTTACTTGGCTGTGAATGAGGTTAATCTTTGTGAAAGTGGAAACAATCGTTTATATAATTAATAATAAGTTATCCTGAAATCTGTTTCTGCACCCGCTGCTGTCCCTCAGTTACAGTATATACTGTAAATCTCACAATGTTCTATCAGTCATTCATGAACAGTCGTCAAATGCCGTGAGAAGTAAGTAAGTAAGAAATTCCAATTCATAATTGGCGATGTCCATATCTTCAAGAAGTGTCACTTCCTCCTGCAATTCGGATGTTAATTATTTATTTTGAGACGTATCAGCTGGGAAACAGAGAGGAGAGCACTACGTGTTTTTACAACAGTCTATGTGCCCCTGGTGTCTCAGTATCTCTCCAGAAAAGCACATCCTGTATGTGTGTGCAAACATCTGATGGACAGTAGCAAACAAGTAACTCCTCCATTTATAATGATTGTTTCACTCAATCTGCCTGGTTTCCTTGGCAACAGAGGGTGGACCTGGGCTGCTGGACGCACTGGTGCGGGCCGCTATACTCTTCCAACCAAACAGAGCTTCCTATTGGAGAGAGTAAGAGTTAATACATACATGTGTTGTAACTGTTTTGTTAACTGATACATGAATAGAAAATAACAGCTTCCTACCTGCACAGTCCCCAGAGTGAATGTCCACCCTCCAGGTGAGTCTCCCCCATGGCATCTCACTGCTGACGAGCTAAGGGGGCCAGCATTGAGGGCCTGAGCTGGACCCTGAGCTTTAGCTGATTCTACATCCGGCGCTATAGCTGGTTGGGTTTGTGCGGATGCAGCGGGAACAGCCTGTGTATTTTGGTGTTGTGGTGTTGAGCCCGTTTCCTCCTCGATGGGTGTATCTTGTGAGCCGCCCAGAACAGAGGAAGAGTTTGAGAGTGGTGGAACTGACCCCGAGACATAACTGGGTGCTGGACTACTCTCCCCCGAGGCGCTGGGGGGAGTGTGAGAGTGAGTGTGTTTCTTCCTGCGGAGCGTGTCGATCCAGCTGGAGCTGTGCCTGGAGGCAAAGGTGGCCAGGGCCAGCGAAGAGAGCCTCATGTTCTTCCCTGAGGTGATCAGCTCTCCAAAGCCCTCCTGGTGGGCAAAGGCGTAGCCTGACCTCCTAGAACCACCCCGAGCGCCCAGACGACCCTCTGACACGCTGCCCACGCCACGCCACGCACTTCCCACGCTGCGTCCTACTGGCTTCCGCTTCTTCTGCCGCACCAACTGAGTGTAGCGCACCTGGAGCACAAACAGAAGAGAGGAGGGCGGACATCATTTATAGACTTAGTGACATGTCATTGTTGGTTCATCACAGTCTACTTGATCATTAAAGGCTACATGGAAACACAAGAAACAAACAAATTATCTGTAAAAACTTTACACCCTCATATTTAATGCTTCTTTTTGTTTTTTAAAATACTGTGACCAATATTCAAGGTTGGTAAATGATCATATTGATTGATGACTCTCTTGATTGCTCTTGTGCCACTTGTGTGCCATGTATTTTTCAAAATCAAACTGCTCTTGACATTTTTTTCCCTGACACTCAAACTCAAGACTTTTTGCACTTGATAGCATAAACTACAAACTACAAATAAATCAACAAAGGAACACAACATGATGTCAGTGGCTTTGTTTGGATGTTCAGCTAGCTCAAGACACAGTTGACTGGCCACACGCTCATCTTATACACGTGTGCCAAAATCAGCTTGCATTATTACGGTCCACTGTTCATGTCAATATTTGCACAGTATTTAAAGTGCATGAGGTCAGTGACGGTAAGCATGAATCCATCAATCATCACATACTCAGATGAACTGTTTGTATGTGTGCAGTTAATTATCGACTGAGCCCAGTTTCCACCTGACATGATGGAAGTCAAGATACTGACACATGATGCAATGAAGACGATGGAGACATCAGTGTTAGAAACGTTGTGTTTTTGTATATTTTCTCACCGTGTCTGAGAGCTGAGGTTTAAGGTCCAGCTTGAGGAAGCGGAATGCCAAAACTGGAACTATGCATATTGCTGTTGCCAGTGCAATAGTTAACCACACGACTGGTTGCAATAATGTGCTCTGGGCACTACCTGTCGTTACAAACATACACATGGACACACAAACATGACATTTTAGGAATTTATAGAATTTTGAACACACATGAATATTAGACATTTTTGCTTAATGATCTGACTGGTGGAGTGAAATGATTTCAGGAGGTGACTACAGTGAACATCAATTCCTAATTTAAGTGTTGGAGAATATTATGTGTTTACAAATCTTCGCATTTGTCTGTGGGTGTGGCTGGGCACGTGATACAGCCTGAACAATATATTCATGTGCTGATATCATCAACAGACATAAGCTTATTACATGTGTAAGGGCATTTTTTGTTATGTATATCTGACTTGATTTTTCCAGATTCAATCTTAATATACTTTTGCTACATTTGCTTTTAATTTAGCATCACTGTTTGTGATTACTTCGTGTAAAGAATATTGGCTACATATTTCTCTCTATGTTGAAAATACAGTATTGTGTGTGACGGACAAGTAAACAGAACAAGGGGACTGACCTACAAAGTGGAACTGATTAGGAAAGATCCTGAAGAGGGTCTGACTGTGCAGAGCGAACATGATGGTGAAGTAGGAGCCCAGAGAGCCCCACACAAACACATGGTTGATGACTGTCCAGAAGCCTGTGTCAAGAGCGATCTACACACAGAAGCACATGCAAAAACAACAGCTGAGGTGCACAGTTAATACACAGTGATGGAACAAACAGCAGTTAAATATAGAGGTTCCCAGCTGTAAGGAAAGCCAACACCACTCTGGGCTCAATCACCTGTACGCTGACCACAATGACCAGGGCTGTTGCCGTGGTGACAGCAAAGGTCTGGTAGTCGGCGAGGGGCACTCCGTTGCTCTGAGTGGCATCAGACAGGACAGCGTAGGGGACAAAAAACAGCACCACTGATGTGTAGATGCCCTGGGCGATGCAGATGAAGAACTCTTTCTTGTTGAAGAGGAGGTTGAGCTGCCCAGGCTCGTACAGTTTAGGATACTCCAGACTCCTTTGGTCAGGAACATCCTACAATAAGACAGTAAATGAGGGACTGCATTGATGAAAACAAATACCTGTAGGCCTCTCTGTAGTTTACCTTTAAACTACATGAATAAGCCATGCTAGTGACTATGACCTAAATGCTAATGTCAGCATGCTAACCTGCTCGCAATGAAAATATCAATTAATATTACGCAGATGTTTAAAAGGTATAGTGTTTACCATGTTCACCACCTTTTGCACATTAGCATGTGAATTAGCACTACACACAGAGTACAG